TATCATATTACTGATTTAATCCTGCTTGAGTTTAGTACAAAGTTTAGGCACAAGGGGGAGATCCGTTGGTATCACAGAGTCCTGAGATTTTCCTTCAGTATTATTCTCCACAAAGATTTCAGCAAGAAAAACTGCTAAAGTATAACTTCCATTGTTGATTACATGCATTCTTGTGGTTTCAACTTTAAAATGATTACACTGGAGCTAGGCATCTGCCATGTTAAAACACGATCAGGTAAAAGGCAATAAAAATCATGCCTGTTCACATTGATTTGTTGGCTTAATTTTTACATGTAATTTTAAAATTTGGTATCGGAAATGGAACTTGAGACCTTGTGCTTGTGAGGCAGGTGGCGGCTACATGTAATTTTTGCAACAAGATATTATTGTGATTTATCATGGAAGCATATCAGGTGAATTTGAAAATAAAATTAAATTCAGGAGAAATAAAAAGCAATTTTGTTAACATTGCAGAAAATTCACACTGGAAAAATGGACTTTGTAAGAAAATAAAAATAATTGCTTTCCATTCCCTTAACCTTTGAATATTGCACACAAGAAAGGAAAGGAGAAATACTATTAATTTTCTCCTGAATTTGTTAATTATAATCCAACAAATTAATTTCTGTCACAACTAAGAAGATTTAAAGGAATCTCAGCAGTATTAGTTGTATGTGTGTCATCTAGAAATCACAGATCTTTCCATATTAAATTACAATTACAGTTATTTTTGCTGTCATACAATACTGTTTCATCACCGTGTCACAATCAGAATGGTAACATGCATTGTTACATTCATGTATCTGTGACATTTAAACATTTTATTTGGAGGAGTCTATGACACAGAAAAACCTAGTCATTTTTTCTTTTCACCTTTAGCACAATTTTTCTTCTTTCACAAAGTTGATGAAAACTATAAGTAGGTTTATTTTTATTTATTTATTTTTTGATGCTGGGGTTTGGACCCAGAGTCTCACACATGCTAAACTCATGCTGTATCTCCAAGCCATACCCCTAATCCCTAATTTTGTGTACAGTGTGTTTTTTCCTCTTCTAATCTGACTTAATACTAGTGCTTCTTTGTTCAGTTTGGTGCCTTCAAAAGATCCTTGAAAGAAATAAAAGTTTTCACGCATCCATACAGATTGAATCATCCTTAACTTTATCATTAGGAGTTATTTATTTATTTTATTTTTTTGGTACCAGGGATCAAACTCAGGACCTTGCACTTGCGAGGCAGGCGGCGGAACCACTGAGCTAAATCCACAGCCCCATTAGGAGTTATTTTTAAATTGAAAAGGATGAAAAAAATATTCAGAAAATTTTTCCTATTTAGAAGTTATCTTAAAATAGTTTAAAGAGTCTAAAAATGAGAGCTCTGAAGGAGCTTTTTCAAAATATAAGGCAAGGAAAAAAATTTATAAAAGTTTCTTTCATATGTCTTTGTATGTTTTATGAGAGTTTTGGAATAACAGTGAATATTACACATGTACAGATTCATTTTAATGAGCACAGACACATTATGGAGTACTATGTCCCAAGCATGTATTAAGTACTTTATGTACATGTGGTATGATATATTAATAAAAATTCTAGAGGTAAATATTTTATTCCATTATGCACATAGGGACACCAAGTGTCAGGTTTTAAGTAACTGGCAAAGGTCACTCAGTTAGAAGCTAAACTCCAATCTGCTGGAATTCAAAACTCAATTATGGCCTTGTAAGTTACCATGTTTTTAGCATAATTTATAGCCATGAAGTTAATTTTTAAAAAATGGGTAAATAGACTCTTGATGGAATTTGAGCCCTGATTATTAGATGATAAGCCATACATTAGTAATATATTGAAGCCTCTTTCACATATTTTACAATAAAGATCCAGAAAAGGGAATGAGGTTTGTTTTTCTGTACCATTTTCAGCATCGTTGGGCACAGATGAGTTCACAGGTTTTTGCAGCAGATGGAACACTGAGGAGGAAAGTCGTGTCTTAAGAACTTCAGTGTGGAGGACTGAACACCAGCAAATCCCAAAATGAAAAGGACACTTCTTAGATTTTAAGCCACCAAGCAGCTGGAAGCCAGTGGGTAATTATTTTCAATGGAAATTATTTTTGTGAACAGATGGAAGTGATTTGATAAAGATGAATTGGCTCACTCTTCCAACCAAAAGGATGATAATAAAAATTGTGTTTTGCTTTCTTAGTGAAATCCAAAATCCTGTTTATAAAAATTATTCCAGTTCTGGCTTGTTCTTGATAACATTATTGATAAACTATTTAAAATTAAATGAGGCACAATCTTCCATTATCCATAAAAGTATGCTTTAATTCTATATTTTTATTTCCTTTTCTCCAATTCTCTAATGGAATATGACTGGAACTACTGAAACCCTAATAATTGTGATCTTGTGAGATGGATTCTGAGGTAGGGTTGGTAACTTGGGCAAAGATCCCAGGCCCAGCTCTGCCACTAATTATGGCATTTTGAGCTGGTTACACAATTATTTGGTGTGCAACCATTTTGCTACTGAATGCCCTTATACATAAATAGCATGTATAACTCACTACTAGCTCTA